CAGGGCAAGACCCCCGTTCCCCCCCTTCTTTGTCCCCCTCCATTCCAGGCAGCTCAGAGAAGACTGTGTTGTCTGTGGCCTGTAAATTTCTACTCCCTTGAAGATGCGCACACCACACTCTGGAGGAAGCACCGGGGGGCTGCCTCGGCTGATGGAGCTGGCGGGGAGGAGGATTTATAAACTGGGGACCCCGGAGAGATGCTGCAGTCGAGGGATGCTCAGCCAGCTGGGGAGGCAGGAAACGCACAATGGTGGGATCAACTCCTGATTCTCCACGTGAGCTACGGGAGAGATTAGTTCCTATGTGATACCGGACCTCCTCTAAGGACGGTTCCGAATGTCCAACTCAGACTTATGTACGACAGTGGGCGTGGCGTGAGTAATTTTCCCGTGTATACAGAGGGCAGATTGGTCAACGAACGCTCCTATTTCCCAGGAAGTGAGACAACACACTAGGTTTAATGAGTAAATGTTGCCTTTTACTAAGCAGTTTTCTTTCATACGAAAAACAGATGCACACGCAGATTCACACAAGTTCCTTAGTTACAATAGTATATAGAAAGCAATCAGCATGGAAAAATAACAAATTCAACAGACAAGGGGGATAACATAGCAGGATATCGCTTATACTTATCTGAGGTCCAAGCTGAGAAGAAATCTCCTCGTAGCAGGAATGGGGCAGCCTAAGTATCAGCGGGTAGACTCTAAAAACACACGGACTGGTCCGGCCAAGCCACGTGCAGGTTCTCAGGTCGCGACTCCTGAGAACGCAGTAAGAATCACCTGCAGCACTTAGGTTGCAAGGTAAGGGAGGGGTGGGTTAACCAGAGAAACAAAGGCTGTGTCTCTCTTTTTAAAAGCTTGTTTTGGGGTTGGCTTAAGGCCAATAAACCCTTAGGGTCCGTCCTCTTTACTATGGCTATAGGTTAAAGAGTTGTGACGTCCTAATCGAGGGGAAGGGGGCAATATGCAGGTGCTCTACCCTAACTTCAAAGAGAGCCATGTGGCCAGGTGTGAAACCGTTGTTTCCATTGGCAACCTTTGACTTGCAGAGATGTGCCTGCTCCAGAGGCAATAAAGGAAGTCTTCTTTGTGATGCCAAACCAGATAGCAGGGCGGGTTACGTGGTTTCCCACAGTTCAGCAATGGTGGGGAAACCCGTTGTTCTGCCAAGTTTCCAACTGAGCAACAATGGCGTTTGTCTCCTTTGTCCAGAGGTACGCTGGGAAAGTGCAGGGAAGCACGTGTCCTGTGGCACAAGCCTTGCTCATCCAAACGCAGGCATGAGATGCAAGCAAGCCATACAACCACAAAGCAATCCCCTTATCCCACAAGCACAGATGTATAGACAATTGACAGACATAGCACCAGCACAGTACAGACAGTGCAGTTACAAGCCAAGGTTACATATGCCAAGGGCAGCGCTGGGTCCCAAGGCTGACTTGAGGTCCTTCCCACTTCTCGGGAAGAGCCAGCCCCTGGGCCCAGATAGGAGTGCCTGACTGGAGGTGTGTGAACGACACATTCTTCAAAGCTGCAGTGCCCCCCAGCGATAAGGCATGAGGGAATGAGGGGCACGGGAGGCCAAGTTTCCGGGGTTGAGAGAACTGGTGTAATTCTGATAGGAAATAGGAGGGAGGATCTTTCTGAAGCACACACACTTTCGAGGAGAGATGTGCAATATGCACATCAGGGCAGGACAGAAAGAAACACACTTGTTTTATTTAATTTTAGGTGTTTCTACCCCACTCGTTCTCCAGTGGGAACCCCAAGTGGCTTGCAACTTTGCCCTCCCTGCCTCCTCCTTATCCTTGTGAAATCATCAACACGTGAAGTCGCCATGTACTGAATCAGTCCCTTGCTCCCCCAAGGTCAGGTATTGTCTAGGTCTGCTATCCTTTTGGGGGGGGGCCTGGAGTTCTCCCGGTATTATGGACTGCAGAGCTCAGCTCCCTGGGGGGGGCCCTGCTTTGGAGTATGGATTGTGTGGCATTGTTCCCTCCTGAGGTCCATCCCCTCCCCAAACCCCACACTCCCCAAGCTCCACCCCCCCAAATCTCCAGGTATTTCCCAACCCAAAGATGGCAACCATAGCACTGTCTACTCAGGGGAGGAAGAGGTACATTGGCTCGTGGAGGCTTTGCTCGGTCTTGACGACAAAGAGGATCACAAGGTTTCCAAAGAGAGTCAAGACATAGAGCACGCAGAGAGGGAAGGCCACCCAAGAGCTTCTCTCTCGCATGCCAGGAATGCCAATGAGGACAAAGGTCTGGTGATTCACAGCGCTGTCGTTGAAGCTGATGGTCAACATCTCCCAAAGGCATGCGGTGGAAAGATGCTCATGAATGGAGATGTTGCTGCTGTGTGGCCTTGGCTGAACCAGAGTTTTCAGTCAGCATCTGCCAAATGGAAATACTGGTCACTGTGTTGCCAAATTGTAAGCGCCGCATAAATTATTACTTGGATAGCAAACCAGGTAGAGGAATCTTAGGGATCACCTTGTAATGATTCCATTTGTGGTGTGTGTGTTTCTTTAAATGTTTAGTGTGGCTGCAGTATTGTAAGGAGAGTGATAGAAGGAACCATTCACAAGCATTCTTTGGGTGCGAGCTGTCAACCAGTTACAGATCCACCTAACAGTCATAGGATCCAAACCACATTTTCCCAATTTGTCAACAAGAATATTTATGTGAAACTTTATCAAAAGCCTTACTGAAATCAAGATAAACTATGTCTACAGCATTCCCCTGATCCAGCAAGGTAGTAACTTTCTCAAAAAAAGAGACAAGGTTAGTCTGACATGACTTGTTATTGAGAAACCCATACTGGCTTTTAGTAACTGTCTGTTTGATGATTTGTTCTAAATCTTTCCCAGGTATATTTTATTTTTATTTTATTTTATTTATTTATTTTTGGATTTCTATCCCGCCCTCCCCGAAGGCTCAGGGCGGCTAACAGCGAGGCACAAGTGCCAAAGTTAAAACAGATAAAAACAGCATAAAACAGAATAAAACAATATAATACAAACACCAAAGTGTCAGTGCTCGATCTGTCACAAGATGGGGTAAATCTTAATCCAACGGCAACGTTCCAATAACCTGTCATCCCGTCTCCTTCCAGGGTCACCTCGCACCCCGATGGAACCACATAGTGGTGGTAGTGGTGCGATGATGCATAGACATCAAGCTGATGGGTCAGTTACCCGGATCCTCCTTTCCCCCCTTCTTGAAGATGGAGACAACATTTGCCCGCCTCCAGTCTTCTTTGGCTCAGGGATAGGGACTGATGGGGTAGTTGGTACACCAGCCGAATCTGTGCCAGGTACAAATACTCAAAACTAGAATGCTGAGGGTCAGGGCTCTGGGGAGAGAGATGGAGTTCCCATAGACAGACAGCCCCTCAAGTTTATGCAGGTGCTGAGAACCCGGGAGGCTGTAACAGAGGCAGGATCATACCACCTCCATCACCCACCTGGAGGGTGGGGTGGGGAACAGAAAACTCAGCTTGCCGACGAAGGAAGCTCATCTAATAGTTTGTTCTGACCATTTTCAAATGAACCACCTCACTTGTTTATTTATTTATATTAATTTATTTTTCATATTTGTATCCCGCCCTCCCCAATGGGCTCAGGGCGGCTTGCCTTACCGCAAAGTGCTTTGCAGCTTGAAACATTTTCCTTCCACTCTGCTCCTCCGATCTCTGTGCTATGACATGCACCATTTAACAATAAAGGTTTCTAACCTTACTTCCCACTCTCTAAATGCAACGAGTGTCGAAACAAGGCAGGATGAAAAGTCGGTGAGCTTAGGGCAGAGCTTTTGAAGAGCTCAGGGCAAAACTCATAATCTTGGGCAGGGTGGTCTGTTAGAATCACAGAATCGCACAATCATAGAGTTGGAAGGGACCTCCGGGGTCATCTAGTTCAACCCACAGCACAAGGCAGGAAATTCACAAATACCTCCTCCTCTCACACCTGCAGTGACTGCTGTTCCATGTCCAGAAGATGACCAGAAACCTCCAGGATCTCCAGCCAAACTGGCCTGGAGGAAAATTGCTTCCTCACCCCAAAGTGGCGATCAGCCTTTTCCTGAGAATGTAAGAAAGAGCCACAAGACCCAAGCCCTGAGGCAGCCCTTCCTGCCCCTCCCTCTCATGATCTGCCTAAGTTCACAGAATCCGCATTGCTGTCAGATGGCCATCGAGCCTCTGCTTGAAAACCTCCCAGGAAGGAGAGCCCACCATCTCCCGGGGAAGCCTGTTCCACTGAGGAACCACTCTGTCAGGAAGTTCTTCCTAATATTTAGTTGGAAACACTTTTGATTTAATTTCAACCCATTGGTTCTTCAGAGAACCAATGTGTGTGTGTGTGTTCACACCTGACGCTTTTGTTGTTGTTCAGTCGCACAGTCGAGTCCGACTCTTCGCGACCCCATGGACAAGATCACGCCAGGCCCTCCTGTCTTCCGCCGTCCTCTGACGTTGGCTCAACTTCATGTTCATTGCATCGATGACACTGTCTAACCATCTCATCCTTTGCCGTCCCTGTCTTCTTTGACCTTCAACCTTTCCCAGCATCAGGGTCTTCTCCAGTGAGGGCTCCCTTCTCATTTGGTGGCCTGACACTGCCTTATACTAAATCAGACTCTTGGTCCATCAAGGTCAGTATTGTCTACTCTGACAGGCAGTGGCTCTCCAGGGTCTCAGGCAAAGAGGTCTTTCACATCTGCCTGCTCCTATTAACTGGAGATGATGAGGACTGAACCTGGGACAATCCGCATGCAAAGCAGAGGCTCTTCCACTGAGCCGCCGTCACTTCCCTAACAATAACATCACGCGCACAAGTAAAGAAACACAGAAGTACCCCGGAAAAAGGAGCTACAGTTCAGACAGACCTGGAGGTAGAAAATGCCCATTTTATGGCACAGAACTGATGCTGGAGGACTGGAATAGAAGGAGGGTAAGTCGGAGAGTTGCTGTCCCTCCAGGCTTATCTCGGTTGCTCAGACTTTCTTGAGTGAGACCATTCTGAGGATCCTGCTGTAGATCTGCTTGGTTTTGATGCAGTAAATGACGGGGTTCATTAAGGGTGGGAAGAGGATGTAGATGTTGCCCATGATGACATGGAGAAGGGGAGAGGCGTGCCGGCCAAACCGGTGCACCACGGAGAGCCCGAGCACTGGTACGTAGAAGACCAGGACAGCGCAGAGGTGGGAGACGCAGGTGCCCAGGGCCTTGCGGTGGCCTTCGTCCCCAGAAGTCATGCCCAGGACTGCCTTCAGGATCAGGCTGTAGGAGATGAGGATGAAGAGGAGGTCAGCGCCCATGGTCAGAAGGATGAGGGTGAGACCGTAGTAACTGGTGATGTTTGTGTTGGCGCACGCGAGGCGTATCACGTCTTGGTGCACACAGTAGGAGTGAGAAAGGACTGCAACTGGGCAGTAGGGAAACTGCAGGAGGAAATACAGGCAGGGGATCAAGAGCAGGGTGCTTCTCAGCAGGAGGACCAGACCAATTCTGGCCACTCTACTGGTGGTCAGCAGAGCTGCGTACCTCAGAGGGAAGCAGATGGCCAGGAAGCGGTCCAAAGACATGGCAAAGAGCACAGCGGACTCCATGAAGGAGAAGGTGTGGATGATGAAGATCTGGGCGAGGCAGCTCCGCCGGCTGATCTTCCTCAGCTGGAACCAGAGGACTCCCATGACGGTGGGCACGGTGGTGAGGCAGAGTCCCAGGTCGGTGGTGGCCAGCATGGCCAGGAAATAGTACATGGGCTGGTGCAGGCTGGGCTCCGTCCAGACGATGTAGAGGATGGTGCAGTTGCCCAGCGCTGCCACCAGGTAGGCGGAAAAGATGGGGATGCCGATCCAGTGGTGAACCATCTCCAGCCCTGGGAAGCCGCGCAGGGTGAAAAGGATGGCGCTGTGGTTGGCGGGAGTTAACAGTGCCATGGCGAGTCCCAAGTCGTGTGTGTGTGTTTGTTTTGCTCTCAAGTCACAGCTGACTTGTGGCAACAGTGTGAGGTTTTTCAAAACAAGAGATGTTCAGAGGCGGTTTGCCCTTGCCTGCCTCTGTGATCCTGGACTTCCTCGGTGGTCTCCCATCCGAGTACCAGGCTGGGCGGACCCTGCTTAGCTTCTGAGATCTGACGAGATCGGGCTAGCACGCTCTCTCCAGGGAAGGGCGAGCCACAAGCAATGCCCCCTCTAAGCTGTGGAGTCCTGTGAGCAGAAAGTCTACTTTGTGAGCTGCTGGCATTCAAGTGGTGAACGAGCCATTTGGCTGCTGCACAAATTAGTTTGCTCCGGAGCCATCCCTTCCTGAGCGGAGACAAATGTGTGTGAGCCAGAGGCTAGAAAACTGTGAGCTGGCTCACACTCACTCAGCTTAGAGGGAACACTGGCACCATCTGTGGAAACCAGAACTATTTTGTGGCAACGGGAAATGTGCCCATCCTTTTGGGCCCGGTGCTAGGCTGAAGGATAAAAGAACATTTCCTTGGGAGCAAGAAAAAAGATTAGAAAAGTTTGAGATCTTTGACCTGAGGGTGCTTCCCTGGCCGCTTCTGGAGTCAGGAGGATACTGAAGGGATCCTTTGTCTGGTTCAGAAAGGCGGCTGTCTTGCCTGGAACTGTGGAGATATTCTTCCGGCCCAGGGCAGGACCTCCCATGTCAGCGTTCTCTGTCCCCCTCCATTCCGGGCAACTCAGAGAAGACAGTGTCGTCTGTGGCCTGTCGTTCTTAGTCCCTTGAAGATGCACATGCAACACTCTGGAGGAAGCGCCGGAGGGCTACCTTGGCTGATGGAGCTGGCGGGGAGGAGGATTTATAGACTGGGGACCGCAGAGAGATGCTGCAGTCGAGGGATGCTCAGACAACTGGGGAGGCAGAAAACCCACAATGGTGGGAGCAACAGCTGATACCAGGGGAGGCTCATCTGAGCAAACTCTGGCTCCGTTGCCCTTACCAACCAGGCTGTCTGGAGGTCCTTTTGTTTGGTGTAGTGGTTAAGTATGAGGACTCTAATCTGGGAGAACCGGGTTTGATTCCCCACTACTCCACATGCAGCTGCTGGATTGACCTTGGGCAAGCCATATCTTCTTCTTCCTCTTCTTCCTCTTCCTCTTCCTCTTCCTCTTCCTCTTCTTCTTCTTCTTCTTCTTCTTCCTCCTCCTCCTCTTCTTCTTCTTCCCAGATACATGTGGCTGAGGGGGGTGCATATGAACTGCACACGTGCTCAGGGGCCTCATTCTTCAAAGCTGCAGTCCCCCAGTGACAAGAGAAGTGGAAATGACGGGCACTTGGTGCAGAGGTTTCACCGATGAGAGAACTGGTGTAATTCTGATAGCCAGTGAGATACGGGTTTCTTTCTTGAGCACATACCCATATCGGAAGACAGACATAGAAACATAGGGCTGGAAGGGACCACAAGGGTCACCAACCCCCTGCACTACAGAGGACGTTCACAGCTATGCCCCCCCAATTCCCCAGCAACCCCAGATCTATGTCCAGACAAAGGATATGTCCTTCATGAAGAGACAGAAACAAACACATGGGCATGGGAATTCCTGCATTTCCTGCTGTTGGCATCAGCCAAATGCCTCCAAGAGGTCGAACATGCATGAACGAAGGTAGTGGCCATTTCGTCTTGTATGTCCCCAGTATGTGGTATGCTGCACCTGACCCTGGAGGTTCCACTGACCTGTAGGCATAGCCCTTGTCTCCCGGCAGCATCCCTGATCAATCACTGACCCAAGTTTGTCTGTTTAGGAGATACTGGGAAGGGATCAGATGCTGTCACATTCAAGGCACACAAATACAATGACAACAAGTAAAGCAAGATTTGGGAGCAAGGTCTAAAAACCAGTCTGGAGTCAGAGATCCAAAGGTTCAGTCCAGGGGTTAGGAGAAGGAGGGTCCAAGGCTTGGCCACTGATGCAGGATACGAGGTCTTGGTCTCAAGCTGTAGGATCAAGTAAAGGTTACCAAAGACAGAGTACAAGGCAGCAAGTCAGGGTAGGGCTCTGTTCACTGAGCAGGTCCACTCACATAGCGGTGCGGTGAGCAAAGTTGCTTCCCGGCCAAGACTTGCTCAGTGTGTTCCTTTTATCTGCCTCCTCTTGCTGACTCATCTCCCAAGGTCCAGGCGTCGCTTCTTACCACTGCGTTCATCTTCCTCCAGGTGCAGGTCTTTACTGCTTCCCTATCAGCTCGTCAATCCTGTTCCTGTAAAGACTCCACTCCAGGAATCAACACAGATCACTGTTGGGCTATCAGGCAAGCACTCTGTCTTCTCTCTAGAGCTGTCAAGCACTTTCTCCTCCTTCAACACTCTGCTGGCCCAGGAGAAACCGGCGGGGACTGATGCCCCGGCCTTTGTGTTGTCTCTTTCTTCTCCTGCCAGAATTATTTATTTATTTATTTATTATTTATTTATTATTTCAATTTATAGCCCTCCCTCCCCGCAACACGGGCTCAGGGCGGCTCACAAATAGGCATACACCAACACATAAAAACAGTTAAAACCATAAAAACCATTATTACAGAATTACAACATATTAATTATGCTGTAATTCTGTAAATAATTAGCGACCGGGCCATGACTGGGAAGCGTTCTCTCTTCCCGACGCTTCCCCCATTGGTGCCGTTTCTTGACCCAGCTGCTCAGGTGGATATTCCACCACTGTGGGGCCCGACTCCTCTGATTCCTCCTCCTCCTCCTCCTCCTCCTCCTCCAAGGAGTTGGCAGCTGGTGCTGGCCCATGGACAGATGCCCTTTAATTCTAATGAGAATTAGTATATTGCAGTGGTTAGCGTGTTGGAACTCGCAAAAGCCAGTTTGGTATAGTTGTTAGAGTTTCAGACTAGGCGCTGGGATATCTGAATTTGAATCCTTACTTGCCTATGGCCAGTCACCGTCTCTTAAACTAACCTGACTGTCCTTTGACTGATGCTGAGCTTTGACTCTGAAAGGCTCATCCCCCGAAAGCTTGGTTGGTCTCTAAGGTGCTCATGGATTCTAATCTAGAGCCAGTTTGGTGTTGTGGTTAAGTGCGTGGACTCTAATCTGGGAGAACCGAGTTTGATTCCCCACTCTTCCACTTGCAGCTGCTGGATGACCTTGGGCAAGCCCTAGTTCTGATAAGAGCTGTCCTTGAAAAAGAGCACCTCACAGGGTGTCTTCTGTTGTGGGGAGGGGAAGGGAAAGGAGTTTGTAAGCCCCTCTGAGACATTTTTGGGTAGTGAAGGGTGGGGTATAAATCCAATCTCCAATATCCTCCCCCCCCCCCTCCTCCCCCTCCTCCTCCTCCTCCTCCTCCTCCTCCTCTTCTTCTTCTTCTTCTTCTTGCTGTTCTGGTGCAGGCCAACATGGCTGCCCATCTGAAAGTATCTCACAGGTTTCTCATACAGATAATGAGGAAGGGGAGCATGATGTGGCAAGCCACTTTTGAGTCCCCATTTGGGAGCAAGGTGAGACATAAATATCTAAATAAATAACACACATTAATGTAAAAGTGCATGGTGTGCGGACAAGCTCCTCCCCCCTTTCACAAATACTAGAACTTGGGGTCACACAGTGAAGCCGATGAGCAGAAGACTCAAGGTAGATGAAGTGCTTCACACAATTAACATGTGGAACTCATGGCCACTGGATGTGGTGGTGGACTCCAGCTTAGTTTGGAGGGAGGACCAGACACTGTGTAGTAGTAGTGGTGGTTAAGACTGTTGGACAAGGAGCTGGGTTTGAATCCCCACTCATGCCAAGGAAGCTTGCTGGGTGACCTTAGGCCAGTCACACACTCTCAGCCTGACCTTCCTCACAGGGTTGTTTTGAGGATAACATGGAGCAGAGAAGAACGATGTAAGTTGCTTTGGTTCCCCATAGGGGAGAAAGGTGGAATACAAATGGAAAAAGTGTAATGAATTAACTAAATAAAAGTTCACGGTCGAAGAAAGGCATCTTCGTGGCCACAAGCCAAGATGGAAATCAGCACGCTGGTGGCAGTGCATCTGTCAAGAGTCGGCTTCCGGGGCTCACAGTAACGAAAAGGCTGTTGTCTTCACATGATGCCTGCGGACTTCCTAGAAACGTCCAGCCAATGTGAGCATTGGGATGTGAGATAACTCTATGGAGCTCTGGTCTGTTCTTGGGGTCTTCGCCTCTGGTTTCTGTGGAAAACATACTTTAATATATAACTTCCTATCTCTCCATTGGGTGAAATCCTCAGCGGTTGTGCCCTCTCCCAAGGGACCCTCCCTCCCAAATATTTTGGTCAGCTGAAAGAAAAAGCTTCCTTGTATTCTGATCCCCACTTGCAGATCAGATGGGAAGTGTGTGTTTTAAACAGCAGAGTCCAGTGAGACTGTGGGAAGAGAGGAGGCTCTGAGCCATTTAGACCCCTGCTTTCTGCTCTTCACAGAAAACAGCTGAGCAGCAGGGAGTAGAAAGCAGGGGTCTAAATGGCTCAGAGCCCTGGGGAGGTTGTTCCATGATTGTGGGGCTTCCACCGAAAAGGCCGTCTCTCATGTGCTCGCCAGACAAGCCTCTTTGATCATTGGGGCAGTCAGGAGAGCCTCCCCCTGCAAACTTAGTTCCCAGCCAGGTAATAAAATAATCTTTCAATTTATTGATAGCTCAATCCTGCAGAGCTTGCTGGCTCTGAGTGATTTACAGTTACTCAATATTACGAGGGACTAACAATGATCTGTGGGTAGGGGAGGACAACATATATACATCTGGTATCCTGGGGACAGGGCTGGTAGATGCAAGAGAGGACAGTCCTTCAGATAACCTGGTCCCAAGCCATGTAAGGCTTCAAAGTTCAAAACCTACACCTTGAACTGGTCTCTGGTCTCTTCATAAGACTTCTGAATTACTCTGGTTGCTTCTTAAGACTTTCAATAACACATGAACCTAACCAACCCTTTAACAAATCTTTTTTTTTTAATCAACTCCTGATTTACTTTCGCTGGAACATCTTGCATATCCTTTGCCGAATCTGCCGTGTTTTCACACTGTACACGATGGGATTAAGAACAGGCGGGACAGCAATGTAGATGTTGGCCATCATCATGTGGACGACGAGAGAGAGGTGTCTTCCGAACCGATGAACCGCACTGATGCCGATCATTGGGACATAAAAAATCAAGATGGCGCACACATGGGAGACGCAGGTGTTCAGGGCCCTGGAGCGTTCCTCATGGGAGGCGATGCTCAGGACAGTCTTCAGGATCAGGACATACGAGACAAGGATGATCACGACATCCAAGCATAGTGTACAAATGACTGCAATCAATCCATACAGCATATTGATCGTTATGTCCGCACAGGCCAAATGCACCATATCCTGATGGAGGCAATAGGAATGAGAGAGGACGTTGGACCCACAGAAGGGCAGGCGTTTGATCAGGAAGGGGGCAGGGAAGCAGACACAGAAACCTCTGGCCAATACGGCTAGTCCAGTTTTTCCAATCACTGTATTTGGGAGAAGCAAAGCGTATCTTAGGGGGTTCTGTATGGCAATCAGGCGGTCAAAGGCCATCGCCACAAGGATGCCAGACTCTGTCCACTGAAACAGATGGATGAAGAACATCTGGGTGAGGCAGGCAGTGAATGAGATTTCCCTGGCATCAAACCAGTAAACGCCCAGCATCGTTGGCATGGTGGCCAGGGCGAGGCCCAGATCCGAGCAGGCGAGGATGGAGAGGAAGAGGTACATGGGCTCGTGGAGGCTTTCCTCGGTCTTGATGACAAAGAGGATCACAAGGTTTCCAAAGAGAGTCAGGAGGTAGAGAAGGCAGAGAGGGAAGGCCATCCAAGAGTTGCGCTCCTGCATGCCCGGAATGCCAACGAGGATGAAGGTCTGGTGGTTCACGGTGCTGTCGTTGAATCTAATGGTTGATCTCATCCTCCAAAGGATTTGTGGTACAGTGAGATGGTGGGATTTTGAAGGCTGTGTGAATATGAACATAAGAACATGAAAAGGATAAGACCTGCAGGAGTCCCGTCTCACACAGTGGCCAGTCAGTTCCCCTGGAGGGCCAACAACAGGGCAGAGAGGCTGAGGCCTTCCCCTGATAAGAACCTCAGAAGAGCCCTGCTGGGTCACACCAGGGAGGGTCCATCCAGTCCAGCCTCCTGTCTCACACAGGGGCCAGTCAGTTCCTCTAGAGGGCCAGCAACAGGGCAGAGAGGCCGAGGCCTTCCCCTGAGAAGAACCTCAGAAGAGCCCTGCTGGATCAGACCTGTTGTTGGCCCTCCAGAGGAAATGGTTGGCTGCAACATGAGGCAGGATGCTGGGCTAGATGGACCCTCCCCGGTCTGACCCAGCAGTGGTTAAGTGAGCAGACTCTAATCTGGGAGAACCCGGTTTGATTCCCCACTCCTCCACTTGCACCTGGCTGGATGACCTTGGGCAAGCCCTAGTCCTGTCAGAGCTGTCCTTGAAAAAGAGCAGTTTCTCTCAGAGCTCTCTCAGCCCCACCTACCTCACAGGGTGTCTGTCTGTTGTGGAGAGGGGAAGGGAACGGAGTTTGTAAGCTGCTCTGAGACTCCTCTGGGTAGTCAAGGGTGGGGTATAAATCCAATCTCTTCTTATCTTCTTATTATAGAACTAGCAGTAAAGCCCGTTGTGAAAGCAATACAACGGGATCTAGAAAGAGGCTCTGGGGCAGTGCTCTGGCTTTGGGCAAAAAGTGTCAATTTGCTGTGGTGATCTCAGCAGGGTATAATGACAGAGTCCACTGTTTTCTCCAGAGGAACTGATCTCTGCTACCTGAAGAGCAGTTGTAATTGTGAGTGATCTGTAGCCCTCACCTGGAGATTGGCAGCAATTGTTACCCAGGACAAAGTGGCTGGTTTGGAGGGTGTAGTCTATGGCATTCTACCTGTCTGAGGTCCCACCCCTCTGCAAACCCCACCCTCTCCAGGCTCCACCCCTCAAATCCCCAGGAATTTGTCAGCATGTAGTTGGCAACCCCATCTCCTTCCCAGCTAGCCACCAACCTACCATTATCTGCCCCTTTGACTTCAGCTGACTTCTGCCCTCCCTTCTGCAGAGCAGTTGTAATACTGAGTGCTCTCCAGCCCTCACCTGGAGATTGGCAACAATGGTTCCCTATGTGGGACTGACTGGTTTGGAGGGTGGAGTCTATGGCAGTGTACCTGTCTGAGGTCCCACCCCTCCTCAAACCTCACCCTCTTCAGGCTCCATCCCTCAAATCTCCAGGAATTTCCCATCTGGAGTTGGCAACCCTATCAGGACTGGCCCCAATGTGTTTTCTCCCAAAGGCCAAAGTAGGTGACAGGACCAAGCTTAGTTGCCTACCAACAGGCACTGAGGGGAATGTAGGGTTGCCAGCTCTAAGGAGGGAAATACCTGGAGGTTTGGGGGGTGGATTCTGTAGAGGGCAGCATTGGGCGGAGCGGAAGGACTCAGCAGGTATAATGTCATAGGGTCTACCCTCCAAAGCAGCCATTTTCTCCAGGGGAAACTGATCTCTGTCATCTGGAAATCAATTGTAGCAGTGGGAGATCTCCAGGTCCCACCTGGAGATTGGCAACCCTAGGGGAAAGTCAGCTGCACAGCAGGGGGTTGAAGAGAATGGTTTGATGGCTGCTGGGCCAAGATTGGCAACAATAGTTCCCCAGGAGCCCCATCGTAAATGCACCAAACAATTCCGAAAATTCCAACTGCCTTGTGGGGGGGGGGTGAGTTTGAGGTGTGGAATGGAGTGAGGTCCAATCAGCTTCCATATGCAAATGACCTTGGAACGCTGGGCGGGACTGCACAAAGCAGCCAGTCAACCCAGCCAGTGTCTTCTGAGTGGCAGTTCTTCCGGCCTAACACTAAGGAGGCCAAATTTAGAATGTTGCGAAATAGAACGTTGGTATTCAATTATTATAAGGGAGAGATGTTGGAAGGGACCTTGCAGGTCATCTAGTCCAACCCCCTGCACTCTGCAGGAGCATAGGTGAAAGATAGCCCTACATACCTACAACATACTCGAGAGATGGTCATCCAACCTCCACTTGAAAACGTCCAGTGAAGGAGCCTCCACCACTTTCTTCTTCTTCTTAAAAATCACAAACTGAGCTGCTTTTTGTAGCTTATTTAACTCCAAGTGCTGTGGCCAGGACAATTTTTGTTTTGGCACTCACTGGTATCAGCATCTGAGGTATCAGTGCCACACTGCAAAACGACTGGTTGTGGCCAGGGGCGGATCTACTGTGAAACTAATGAAGCTTAATCTTCAAGGTGCCTAATCCTGAAGGGGCGCTGAAGCATTTTTTTTTTTAAATGAGTGCATTTTTCAACAAAACTGATGGAGTGTTTTAAAGTATTTGTTATTAAAATAAGGCTATTTTAGTGACAGAATCATAAGCCAAAGGGCTGAAGTACTTAATATTTAGCTTAGAATATGCTCTAATACCCATTTCATATCCTTGTTGGATGTTGCCCTATTGTTGCTGGTTAAGAAGGGGCTCCCATTACAGTTCAAGCTTCAGGGTCCCAAAAATGTAGGTCCGCCAGTTGTGGCAGTGTAGCTAAAATGATTCAATCTCCCCTCTGGCTGAATCTGCATTTGTCTTTCCCACCGGTGTCCCAGCCTTTTGACTCCATCTTCAAAAAAGCCACCTACATTTGGTGTTGTTTTCACACCTCAACAGTGCTAGCATACTTTTGCACGTCTGCGTGTGTTTAGTGCCCTTTCATGGTGGCTCCACTGTCATTGCACTTCCCCACTGCTTTAAAAGAATCTTCTCCAAACAACATCCAAACAAGCATAGAGAAAGACAGTGATGGTATCGGCATTTGCATTTTTAAATTAATTTCATGCTGCTGTGACGCCGCCTTTCTCTATGCTTGTTTGAATGTTGTTTGGAGAAGATTCTTTTAAAGCAGTGTGGAGGTGCAATGACAGTGGAGCTGCCCCAAAGGACGATAAACATAAGTGGACGAAAGTATGCTATCACTCTTGAGGTGTGAAAACGACACCAAATGTGGACAGCTTTTTTAAAGAAGGAGTCAAAAGGCTGGGACACCCAGTGGGAAAGACAAATGCAGATTCCGCCAAAAAAAAGAAGGGATTAACTTAGTGCTCCAGGGCTGGATTTGCACAGGAAAGAGATCTAAGGAGGTAGAACTGTTAACAAGCACAGTTTCCTTGAAGGGCAGCACCGTTTATTTATTTAAGATATTTACATCCTGCTCCATCAAGGAAAGTGTTGCTGGAGTGGAAACATTCCTGGAATGGATGTGGGGAGAACAAGAACATTTCACAAAAAAAAAAAAGCCTGCTCTTTCCTTATCTTGGCATTCCGACCGCTGCAGGCTTCTGTGTAATTCAGAACCTTCCATGTTCCTGTCCTGACGCAAGCCCACAAACCGAGCATTTTGTCTTCTTGATGTCATGAAGACCCCCGGTTTAATGTATTCATCTCTGACCGCGTGTGAGGCTAGTCTCCACGCGGTCATGCAAAACCTCCGAGTAGGGGTGTGCAAAAAATAAATAGATTCAGCCCATTCGGATTGGGCAGAATCGGGCAGAATCAATTCCGGCTGGCGGTAAGACTCCGGCATGTCAGTTTCGTCAGTAGGAGCCCATTCTGGAGTCTTTCTGCCAGCCGAATGTCAATTTCAGCCCCATTATATCCTATGGGCCATTGAAGTCAACGGCGAAAACATAGGGTATATTCTGGGGGCTTGAGGGAGAGACTCCAAACTTGCAGGGTAGCTGCTGGAGCCTCTCCCCAAGATACCAACCATGTTTCAAGAGCATTGGACCAGGGGGTCTCATTCTATGGGCCCTCAAAAGGTTGCCCCTATCCCCTCCATTGTTCTCTATGTTGGGAAAAAAAGTTACTTCAATGGCCCATAAGATATAATGGGGTCGGAATTCGGCGGCAATTCGGCGGCAAGCCAATTCAGATCAGAGCATCTAAATCAGCCTGCAGCAGCTCGAAAGGGGTCCAAATGGGTTATTTTTGGGGGTGCATTCGGTTCAGATGGACCGAATGCACATCCCAACTCCTGAGCTTCGCTCCCAGGGACAATGACCCGAGCGGATCCTAGCCCGTGCCAGTCAGAGGGCTAGGCTCCTGCCAAGAGCCCATGAAACTCTTGGCCACTGTAAATAGCCTATCACTGGTGTGGGGGGGTGTTTGGGTTTAGGGCATATTGCACATATAAGGGGGCCTGCGAGCTGGGAAAGTCCTCTTGCTCTTTCCTGAAATACAAGTATGAGAGCTGAAATCACTAATAAGTCTCAGTACTTTTCACCCTTGCACTTACCTGACTTTGCAGTGCAGATTGTAAACCGGCCTTGCTTTCCCTGGGTGACAAAGGGCGACTCTGCCTGAGCCGTTGTAAGGCCAGTGCTGTTTTATGGCATTTGAGCTTTAGCTCAAACCCTGCTGTGTTTCCCCTTCAGGGAGGGAGGGAGGGAGGCGGCCCAAAGCAGTAAAAGCCCCAGTGGGTGGAGGGACCTTAAGTCCCAGCAGTGGGGCCAGCCATCCTCCAGGAGAGCCTTCCTCCAAAAGAAGAATCACTGACCTTGGGGGAGGGACTGTTCCGATGTGACAGGCTACAAACGTCAAGGAGTCGGTCATTTGTCCTTTAAATATTGTGCGATGGTGGCCCCCATACGAAAAAAATGAAGACACCAGACAAAACGCGCGGGTCAAACTCCGGGTTTATTCATTAGAAGACGAATGAACTGCACATTAAACTCACACCCTCCTTCCCATCTGTATGGGTTACCTAAGAGGTTAGCCATAGGGAGGAAATAACATGGGTGGGAAAGCCGTATGAGTTATTTTTGGGCAGGAACGCACAGGAACGGAGTTCTGGCTGGCTCCCGAGTTGGCCACGCCCAGCAGGAACTCATTAGCATAATAGGCCACACCCAACAGCAGGAACTCATTAGGATTGGCTACATTAGGGGTGTGTGGTCTAACATGCAAAGGAGTTCCTGCTACAAAAAAAGGCACTGGGTTTTGACAACAAACAAGGTAAACAGAGTAAGAGGCAAAAGGTGAGTGTGGCTGGAAGACCACACTTCTGGTAACATGGTGTGTGTGGCCTAATAGACGAATGAGCTGTATTGCCATGGGTGTGGCCTAATATGCTAATGAGTTTCTGCTGTTGGGTGTGGTCTATTATGCTAATGAGTTCCTGCTGGGCTTTTTCTACAAAAAGAGCCTTGCGTATGACTGATCAAGATGGGTGGCCATGTCGGTCTGTCGGTAGCAGGAGAAAAGAGCAAAAGTCCAGGAGCACCTTCAAGACTCACAACATTTGGGGCAGGGGAGGAGCTTTCGGGAGTCACTGCAGTCACTTCCTCAGATACCGCTAGAGTGTGAATCCACCTGTCCTTATATCACAAGGCTGATGGGTCTCCATTCTGTATGGCTAAATGTGTTGCCTTCCATGGAGACAGATCAACATGGGGAGGCGTGTTATTAAGTCTGTCTGTAGCAGCGGAAAAGAGCAAGAGCCCAGGAGCAACTTCAAGACTAACCAAAATTGGTGGAGGGGAGGAGCTTTCATGAGCTATAGCTCACTTCCTCAGATACAGCTAGAATGGGAGTCCACCTGTCCTCCTATCACAAGGCTGATGGATTCCCATCCTGTACGGCTAAATGTGGTGCCTTCCATGGAGATGGATCAAGATGGGGAGCCGTGTTAGTCTGTCTGTGGCAGTAGAAAAGAGCAAGAGTCCAGTTGCGTCTCAAGGACTAATAAAATCTATGACAGGAGAGGAGCTTTCATGAGTCACTGCTCACTTCTTCAGATACAGCTAGAATGGGAGCCTGTCTATTTATTGGAAAGTGGAGTGATTTCAGATGCCGAATGACATTAGCAGCAAATGACAATAGTAGTTAAATGACAATAGCAGGCATGATTGGATTTAGGTGAGATATGCAGAGGGGTTATAGGTGTGGAGGAATCGGCGTTGGTAACGAGACAGGAAGCCTAGGTCTCGATTCAGTCCAGGTGGACAAGCGGTCTTGAGCCTCATTACCAGCTGCAATTCAGCAACTCCTACAACTGGAATGTCTTCTTGGGGCACAGCCTCTTGTGTATGCGTTGCCGGATCTGCTTCGTCTTGATGCTGTACACAATGGGGTTCATCAGAGGCGGTGCCAGCAAGTAGACGTAGGACATGAGTATGTGGACCATGTGAGGGGCCCGTTCCCCAAAGCGGTGGATCAGAGACAGGCCTATCATGGGGATGTAGAACAAGAGAACGGCACAGATGTGGGAGATGCAGGTGTTGAAGGCCTTCAGGCGCCCCTCCTTGGAGGCGATACCCAGAACCGTCTTCAGGATGAAAACGTAAGAGACGAGGATGAGGAGAGAGTCTGTTCCCACCGTGAAGGCGACAACCGTGAGCCCGTAAATGTGGTTGACGACGATATCCGAACAGGCCAGTTTCATGATCTCGAGGTGCAAGCAGTAGGCGTGGGAGAGGACGTTTGTCCTGCAGTAGCGGAACCGGCGGAGGAGGAAAGGCAGGGGGAAGATCAGCACAAAGCTCCGGGAGATGGAGGCCAGCGCCATCCTCAAGATCCTCTGCGTGGTCAGGATGGAGCCGTACCTCAGCGGGTGGCAGATGGCCACGAAGCGGTCAAAAGCCATGGAGAGGAGCACGGAGGATTCCACCAGGGAGAGGGAGTGGATGAAAAACAGCTGGGCGAAGCAAGCGTCGGAGTGGATCTCGCGGGAATCGAACCAATATATGCCCAGCACGGTCGGCAGGGTGCTGAGGCACAAGCCCAGGTCCGTCAGGGCCAGCATGGCGAGGAAATAGTACATGGGCGCGTGCAGGCTCGCATCCATCCTGATGACGTGGAGGATCGTGCCATTCCCGAGCAAGACTGTCGCGTAGACGAAGCAGAAGGGGAGGGAAATCCAGCGGTGGGCGTATTCCAGGCCCGGGAAGCCCGTCAGGAGGAAGGTCGTGGGGTTGAAACTCGTGTTTCCCGAAGGCAGGAGGCTCATCTTGTTTCCCAACAGGCTCTTCTGTTTTGGGATCCTGGGGGGGGAGGGGAGGAAAGGCCACCGATAATCACTGCAGGCATTAATCTGTCCCTGGCTGACATTTATGGCTTGTGTTTTATGGGACTGTTTAACGACCTTCGTCTTTATAAGAAGACTCTGGTTTGTCTTCAACCATCGATGCACGAATGCAAAGGGGGTTTTTTGTCTCCAGTTCTGAAGCCCTTTCTGACTGCCCCCCCCCAAAGATGATTTAGGATTGCTGGACCCCACATGGAGGAACAGCAACATGGGCTGGTAATCTGGGACGGGGGTTAAATCGCTCCAGCCCCCCCTTTTAGAACAGAAGAGAACATAAGAGAAGCCAATGTTGGATAAGAACATAAGAGACACCAATGTTGGATCAGGCCAAAGGCCCATCCAGTCCAACACTCTGCGTCACACAGTGGCCAGAAATACCAGGTGCCCTCAGGAGGTCCAGCAGTGGGGCCAGGACATTAGAAGCCCTCCCACTGTTGACCCCCCCCCCAAGCACCAAGACGTCAGAGCATCACTTGCCCCAGAGTCCCTATCTATACCTTGTGGCTCAGACCAATGGCCCATCCAGTCCAACACTCTGTCACACAGTGGCCAAAAATACCAGGTGCCATCAGGAGGTCCACCAGTGGGGCCAGGACATTAGAAGCCCCCCCACTGTTACCCCCCACCCCCATCCCTTTCCCCAGAAATAGGAACATAAGAGAAGCCAGTGTTGGATCAGGCCAAAGGCCCATCCAGTCCAACACTCTGTCTGTTACACAGTGGCCAAAAATACCAGGTGCCATCAGGAGGTCCACCAGTGGGGCCAGGACACTAGAAGCCCTCCCACTGTTGACCCCCCCCAAGCACCAAGAAGACAGAGCATCATTTGCCCCAGAGTCCCTATCTATACCTTGTGGCTCAGACCAATGGCCCATCCAGTCCAATACTCTGTCACACAGTGGCCAAAAATATCAGGTGCCATCAGGAGCCCCACTTGGGTGGGCATAATCCACTCATGCCCCGGCCCTGTTGAAAGGCTTTTCAGTAGACGTGGACATTGACACAGACATGCAGGGGGTTGGAATAGATTACCCTGGAGGTTCCTTCCAACTCTATGAGTCTAGGATTCTATTCTATAATGCTATGAAGCTGCCTTTTACAGAGTCAGGCTGGCAGCAGCTCACCTGGGTCTCAGGCGGAGGTCTTTCCCATCACCTCCTGCCTGGTCCTTTTAACTGGAGATGCCGGGGATTGAACCTGGGACCTTCTGCATGCCAAGCAGAGGCTCTGTCACTGAGCCACAGCCCCTCTTTACAGCTCAACAGGGTCTCAGGTGGAGGGCTTTCCCATCACCTCCTGCCTGGTCCTTTTAACTGGAGATGCCGGGGATTGAACCTGGGACCTTCTGCATGCCAAGCAGAGGCTCTGTCACTGAGCCACAGCCCCTCTTTACAGCTCAACAGGGTCTCAGGTGGAGGGCTTTCCCATCACCTCCTGCCTGGTCCTTTTAACTGGAGATGCCGGGGATTGAACCTGGGACCTTCTGCATGCCAAGCAGAGGCTCTGTCACTGAGCCACAGCCCCTCTTTACAGCTCAACAGGGTCTCAGGTGGAGGGCTTTCCCATCACCTCCTGCCTGGTCCTTTTAACTGGAGATGCCGGGGATTGAACCTGGGACCTTCTGCATGCCAAGCAGAGGCTCTGTCACTGAGCCACAGCCCCTCTTTACAGCTCAACAGGGTCTCAGGTGGAGGGCTTTCCCATCACCTCCTGCCTGGTCCTTTTAACTGGAGATGCTGGGGATTGAACCTGGGGCCTTCTGCACGCCAAGCAGAGGCTCTACCATTGCTCCACTGCCCCTCTTTACAGCTCTCCAGGGTATCAGGCGGAGGTCTTTCCCATCACCTCCTGCCTGGTCCTTTTAACTGGAGATGCCGGGGATTGAACCTGGGACCTTCTGCATGCCAGGCAGAGACTCTGCTAATGACATTCTGCATACAAAGCAAAGACTCTTCCATTGAACCACAGAGCTCTCCACACTGCACAAGGTCGTCTCCATAGCCATAAGGCTAGAAACTTGCCAAGATCCTTAAGTTTCTGTCATAAAGGCTTATGTTTAGACATGTGAGTCAACATGTTCCTTTGCTTGTTCCAAAGTTATGGCTACAAGTATGGAATGAATCATCTTCTTACTTGATATTGTTAATTGTTTATGTAAAGTTCCCAATAAAAAATTATTATAATTTAAAAAAAAATCGTAGTTTCCTCAGCTATTCCACATATTCAAGCCTGTTTCTAGACCCAACCCAGTTTAGGAAGCCGGTCTCCATTGGCAGCATTGCCTAGGGGCAGATCCTTTCAACTTACTCATGTCCAGCAGCGACTGACCGGGAGCAGCTGAGCAGAGGTCCTTGCAGACGGACGGGGCGTGAGAGCAAAAGACCCGGCTGATGAAGTCAGCTTTATAGAGCTTGCAAGGCGTGTCCTCCGGGAGAGCAGGGCTGGATGTGAGGCTCTTGGTGCCGGTGGACGGGGGACTTGGGGGTTATTGTCGCTGGGCTTGCAGAACACAGCAAAACACCATGGCTATTTCAGGAGTCAAACCATTACAGTCTCCTGGTGAGCAAAGGAAGGCCTTCCGAACCAATGCTGTCTCTAAGCCGTGGAGTCTTGTGAGCAAAAATCCTACTTTGTGAGCACCTGGCATTAAAGTTGTGAGCGAGCAATTTGGCTGCTGCATAAATTAGTTTGCTCTGGAGCCTTCCTTCCTGAGCTAAGACATAAACGTTTTCAAGCGGAGGCTGGACAACCATCTTTCGGGTATGTTGTAGGTATGTAGGGCTATCTTTCAGCTATGCTCCTACAGAGTGCAGGGGGCTGGACTAGATGACCTGCAAGGTTCCTTCCAACATTCTATGATTCTATGATTCTAAGTGGGAGCCAGAGGCTAAAAAACTGTGAGCTAGCTCACACTAACTCAGCTTAGAGGGAACACTGTAAATCGGAACCCCAGGGGAGAGCTGTTTGTTTTCCATCTTGCTGCCCACCCTGAAGTTGGGGCCAAGTCCTGTCCCACCACTGGTTGGGACTTCCGAAGCGACCTCAGGCAAGAAAACCTTTAGGCCTGGGATCCATAAAATGAGGAGGAGAATGGTGACCCGGCTGGTGGGGCAGCTGGTGCAGTGAAATGGCTGTTTACTTGCTCAACTTTAAAAGCCCCCGAGGACCAGGAAATCCCAGCTTTAGGCACCTGGGTCATAGAACCATAGAATGTCAGAGTTGGAAGGGACCTTGAAGGTCATCTAGTCCAACCCCCTGCACTCTGCGGGAGCATAGCCGGAAGAGAGCCCTACAACATACCCGAAAGATGGTCATCCAGCCTCCGCTTGAAAATGGTCCAGCGAAGAAGCATCCACCACCTCCCGAGGCAGTCTGTCCCACTGCTCAACCGCCACTCTTACAGTTAGGAAGTTTCTCCTGATGTTTAGCCGGTAACGGCTCCCTTGTAATTTCCACCCCTTAGATCTAGTCTTGCAATCCGGAGCAAGAGAGAATAGATCTGTTCCATCTTCTACATGCCAGCCCTTCAAAGGGTCTTCTCTAAGGGCCAAAGGAGACATGAGGCCATGAGACACTGCTGCCATTTTAAAGTCATTTAAAAATGCCACAAGGGCTTGATCCTGATTGAAGAAGAAGAAGAGATTGGATTTATACCCCACCCTTCACTACCCAAAGGAGTCTCAGAGCAGCTTACAAACTCCTTTCCCTTCCCCTCCCCACAACAGACACCCTGTGAGGTAGGTGGGGCTGAGAGAGCTCTGACAGAAACGGCTCTTTCAAGGACAGCTCTTATCAGAGCTACACTTGCCCAAGGTCATCCAGCAGCTGCAAGTGGAGGAGTGGGG